CACTCCTTACAATCTTCAGACAAACTGATCTAATCAGTGTTTGGAAAGCTAGTGCCCTATCACTAGTACTCAGCGAGCTGAGCACTGATTCAAGACCAGTGTAATTCAGCTGAAGGGGATAGGAATCAACTAACTATCTGGTAACCATCATTTGTATGGGCAAAACCTCTATTTGTCATTAACATCTCTTGTTGTTCAACATACCCTAAGAGATCTTATCCAAATTTGGTGGTAATTTATGCATAGGCACTGACATATTCTACTTCATACTCCTGAATATGCAAGTGAGAAAGCTGAGAAAATTTAGAAAGATGGAACATCCTTCTCCAGACAGACAGTTTTAAAAACAGCAGTCCAGTCTCACCTGGTTGTAATGTGCCATGTTCCCAGCTATCCCATAGTCATATGCCATTAGCTTCCCACGGTGCACTGCCTGGGAGAAGACATGCATATGAATGCATATATCTTACAATGCAATACAACACAATAACTGCCTTGACATGCTCCTTGTGGTCCTTACAAGGACACTAGCAGCGCTTTTACACAGGATTAAAGTCTCCTTACTGACAGTACAGGTCGACAGAGGCAGGAGAATAGAGATGACTCAGAGATGAATGTCATATCTGCACTGTGTGACATCTACAATTACCAGTACACAATGTAATTGAGGCTGTGGCCTTGTGGCGATTGTTACCATGGAGACAATTAAATTTTTCCATAACACAGAATCAGCGGAAGAACCCCTTCCTGTGACGGGAGTGTCGCACTGATGACACCGAGAGCAACAGCGATGTCTTAAGGTAAGAGCCACGCCCATCCACTTAGTGGAAGGTTGAAGTGGTTGAAGGTGTGCAAACGCTGGGGGAAGTGCGTCACTGAGGCAGACTGTCGACGCCCCAGCACAAACTGTTATTCACTACGCTGTTCCTTTTTTTAGGCGTTGCCAGCTCAAGTTTTCATACCAAATTACAGCATGCCAAGTAATACACAAAAAAAAAAAAAAAAAAAAGAGTCCCCAACTTTCTCAGCTAGCTAGGCATTAATTAAACACCAAGTTAGACTCCTTCCTCCTCCCATCCCTTCCATTTTTATTCAAATGAAAGTCTTCACTGTAGAAAACTCAGCGGCATGACAAGTGTGACATGGCACAAAGCCTTAATTTTGTAATCAGCAAAGTGGGAATCCTCCACACAACCCCCTCCCCCCCAAAAAATGTAGTCATAAAAAAAATCCTTGCTGCAGGCGATACGCTGACATGAAAGGTGACGCAACACAAGTTCAGACATCCTCGGGGCAAAGACTGCAATTGCGCGGGATGAGGATGGAGAGTACAGTAAAAGTGTTGGAGAACATCAAAGGCCACAGCTGGGGACTAAGAGCAGGGCTGCCAGGAGGCCTGTGTTAGGCCCCAGGGAGGGATGAATACCATTTAATATGTGAACCTAATCCAGATTCCAGAGGATGTATTTCAGGGAGGATTTTTTTTTTTTTTTGGGGGCGTGAATGCTGGACTCTGTGATCAAAGGTGATGTCTTACTCTGTGGCGGAGCACAGAAGCAGAGAGCCGTTTATGCCAAAGGAGCTTCGTAAAGATCAATCGCTGCCACCCCCCCTCCAGCTTTACCCAAAATGAATGAACTCTAGCCGCTCTAGGCTGCTTATATTAGATGGACTGAATACTGAATACAGAGAAAGATATAGAGTGGTGGAAACAGGGTTTTTAAGAGACCACTTTGATCTTCAAGTACCTGAGACCAGTGAATCATGTTCTGCACAGATGTCCCAGCAGGGCAGTGAGTGGTGTACACAGGGGTACGGGACTGGAAGAGAGAGGAACACGCCAGAACAACTTGTCAAAGACATGCCAAAACACTGAGCCATGCACATCATCAGGTACAATTCAGCAAGAGGGTAAGATAAACATTCAGTGGAATTTAGGCTATAATTACTTTTTCAACTCAGTAGTTGAAATTAAGGTAGAACAGCTACAACACTGGCTATCTGCTCGTTCAAAATATATGGTACTGCACAACTTCTGATTCAATTATACTACAGACTACCATTATAGATGTCCTACCTGTAGCTGCCAAGCTAATCAAATGATACAATGCTATACACTGCATTGCTGTACACAATACATGCAATGGCCTTTCTCCCCTCAATTTCCTAACTCAAAATAAGCACAGAACCAGCCTGTCACAAAGCTAATTTGTGGTCATGACATTACTCCTAAAAACTGTGGCCATTTAATGTAATGTGACAAATGAAGAGACACAGCAAGAGTGATAACTGACCATGTTGAGGTTCTTCTCATCAAAGCCACAGAGCACGAAGAAGATGTTTCCACAGAGCTCACTCAGTGGGTCATGGCTGCAGAACTTGGTGGCAAACCACTTGATCAGAGGACTCTGCGGGAAGAAGTCCTTCCTTCCAAACAGATCCTGCAAATCATGAAGTTGGGGCCATGTCAGCAAGCAATGCTGTAATTCCACTATACTGTAATGCCTCTAACTCTGAAGCAGTACCGTCATCATTTTAGACGAGTCCTGCTAAATTGTGAATCACATCTATATCCTTAGCTGGTTCATCACCAAACTGATGTCAATGGTACTTTTTTTAGTGGTGGAAGAGTCTGTGTGGCTTACCCAGATAAGGAAGTCTGGGAAGATGGAGAGTTTGGTCATGGGGCTCTCAGTAAAGGCCACGGTTGCCACTGGGGCCAAACCGAAGAACATCTTGATTTTGCTGGCCAGCTCGGGCATGGTGGAGAAAGCTATGAAAGCTGAAACCACATCAGGGTCAGACAGGTTAAACGACATGACTGAGTCCTGAGGTGTTCTGAGATTGCATTTTAGACATTGCATTTTTTTCTTCTGTTAAATTATATTTTAGAAGTTTTAGCTTATTATAATACAATTTTGGGCAGAGTTTGGAAAAGTAAAGATAAAAACTGGAGAGGACTTGGGTTAAAATGCCATTGAACTGAACTGATATCAGAGTGGTTTTACCCTCAGAAAATCAAACCGTTCAATGGAATCAAACAATCCAATTAAAATGCAGTGAAACATGAGAGAACAAACAGCTTGCCATATGTTACATGCCAATGGTTTATTACTTTCTGCAGAACAGACCTCCACATGAGTTAAACAGATTTTAATATTGTGATAATGTACACAGCTATCATGTATGAGGCCTGCTCATTTACAACAATAGAGCTCCACTCTACTCAACACAAACTGAGAACCCAGTGCCATTATTATCCATATGCATAAACCACATACACATAATTAAGACACTATCAAAAATGACAGATAAGAAATTATAACCCATATGCGTGATTATGATCTAATCTAAAATTAACACAGATTAAAAATAGGAGGACTGTATTAGAAGGACTATATTAGACAAGTGCATCATACCAATGGTGGTGCCTTGGGAATGTCCTACATAGAAAATCTGCTCCTGTCCTGTAACCTTTGTGATGTGGTTCACCACTGCTGGAAGGTCCTTCTTTGCCATCTCATCGTAGCTGTAATACAGGGAGAGCGGCACAACACTGTGACATTCCCTTTACACAGGTTTAACATGTTTCCAACAAAATGACTGCTTTTACCAAATGAATCCTTGCCGTGTCAGAGACATGGCAGAGACAGAGAACAATCTTTATATAATTTCTGTCACACTACAGGTGATATAAATGGAGTCATGATGGATCAATAAAAGGAGGTGGAATACCATAGTAGAAAAACACTGAATGACAGAGTAACACCCTCTGGCACACTAGGGGGTTCTACAGACTCTAGGCGAAACTCCCAAGGAGAGCTCCTCCAAATGCAGGCAGCATTGTAACATAGTGGTAAAGCGCAGGGCTCATAACCGAAAGGTTTACGTAACCCACAATTGCCTCAGTAAATATCCAGCTGTATAAATGGACAACACGTAAAAATTGTAACCTATGTAAGTCACTCTGGATAAGAACGTCTGCTAAATGACAATAATGTAATACAATGTAGTGTAAATATTAGTGTCGCCTGCTAGCTGGCTAAGTAAATCCCTCCCTCTCCACCTCAGCTGATGTGTGGTGAGTGTTTCTTGTGCAAAATGGCACTACAGATCTGTACTATTTGTACTGAAGTCATTCAACCTGCCCCTTGTGATGCACTTCAGGATCTACAGAAAGGCCCCACCCGCTGCAATTTATCAACATGGTAAGATTTTAGCTTTGATTTCATTTAAATGACTGTGAAGTACAGTAACAGTCAAACATTTGGACACACCTGATTAAGATAATGGGAAACACACATTCAAAGACATTTCGATCTAAAGGCTTATGCTGAAATGGTTGAAATTTGTTTCTTAGACAAATATAAAAGTTGATGCCTATATATGAATTTCTTTCCAAAAAATAATTTTTATTTGTGAAAAACATTTATTGGCTACTTTGAAGAACATATAAGATATTTTTGATATGTTTAACATTTTTTGGTCACTGCATGATTCCATTTGTGTTATTTAATAGTTTTGATATTTTTACTATTATTCTAAAATGTGGAAAATAGTAAAATTAAAAAAATCCCCTCTATGAGTAGGTGTGTTTAAACTTTTGACTGGTATTGTAAACGTTGTAGGCTGGGAGTGTGGGGGCGGTACCTGAACTCCCAGAAGGCATCCTGGTCAGGGGACAGTGTGACGTGCTTCCTGGACCAGGTGTTCCCGCGGCTGTTGCCTATCCACACGTCGTAGCCGGCGTCAGCCAAGATGAAGCCCAGGCTGCCGTTGGGCAGGTTGGTCACCCAGTTGCTGCCGGCAGCTAGCAGGCCGTGCTGAAGGAATACCACGGGTCTGGGACCTGAAAGACAGGCAGGGACACAAAGCGTGATGCATCTATTACTTGAACCTCAAGTGACGCTCGACACAGAGGAATTGCCATTTCGTTGTTGAGACATCATTATTGTATATTACATAAAATATATCCTAGATTATATATTATATACAGGAGTGGCAGTGTAACATAGTGGTAAAGAGCCGGGCTTGTAACCGAAAGGTCGCTGGTTCGATTCCTCACCGGAGCACTGTTGTGGTACCCCTGGGCAAGGTGCTTAACCCAGAATTTCCTCAGTAAATATCCAGCTGTCTACATAGGTTACAATATTTAGATGTTATCCATGTAAGTCCTCTGGATAAGAGCATCGGCTAAATTGATAATAATGTGATTGACATTTTTGTACAGAAGCAGCCCCTGTAGATCTGTTTATCCCATACTATAACTTAGGCTACCATCTTGTCATATAGCAGATGTGGATTAGGGTACTTCTGAACAGGGCAAACAAATAAAACATTTAACCCATTTGAGCAAAACCCTGCAGAAAATGCGTTTAACCAGTTTCACTGTCGCGGGAGGTTTTAATTCTGCCACCAGATGGCGCAAACTCACCACGCCATGTGAACCTTGCTGCTTCGCCTGCCCGACGGCATTTTTTCACCGGAGCGCCCTATTCTTTCGTTTTCTTTTTTGGGAACTTTATCACTGCGATCCGTTGGAGGCAGGATATGCGCTGGGTCTTTTCAGTAAAACAAACAGCCCTGTGGCTGATTGGATTGTTTTGCCTTGCCTCATACCAGCCACTTTGCCCACCCCCCCCTTACCAGAGCCTGTAAGGCTCGCATTAGGAGAACGCTGGTGAGATTTTAGGATTTACATAACTGCTGGGTGAGCTCAATAGGCAAAATGTTGCACAACGATTTGCCACAGTGCTGCTGGGAAGTGAAGTTTGGAGCCGGAACTTATGAAATCAAATTAAATTTGCTCAGTACTTCACCCCCCCCATCAGTGGTTTCTCCCTGTACAATAAAAATGCCTATCTTGTTAAAGATTTTTTTTTGGGGGGTGGATGACAGCCTGATCTCTAAAAATAAATGAAAGAAACTCATTCATGAGTAATAGAGGACACCCACAGATCCATGCTTCTGCAAAATACATCACCTTCTGCAATGCAAGTAAATAAGTCTACCAAGATTGTGGCATTCAAGGACAGGCCTTGTGTCTCACTTAAAAGGCATCTGAAGTAATTCTATGATAAAATAAATACCAAGGTATGTGTTAGGTTAAACATAACAAGCACTTATAAATCAGCCCGACATGGCCTGTTGGCTTGGTGTATGTGTGGTAAGTCCAACTACATGTATTCACTTTCAGCAATACAAAATGTTACATTAATCTTGACATCTTATTCAACATTTATTTTAAATGATGGAGCCATAGGTGCCCTTTCAATAAGACTAATTTCATTTCACTTTCATTCAAAGACCACAGGAAAGTCTGACAAAACCACTTAGGGGTATCCCCATAAGGTCCAATCTCAGTCAGGATGCTGGACAGGAAAAAATGGCCCTTTTGTGGTTTTTAGGGCAGCTTGCTACTTTTTTACATCTCGAACATTTTCTAAAATGGGTCTGGAAATGAATTATTGCAAAAAATATCTGTAATACTTTGAGTGGTACACACACTATCCCCTGTGATTTGGAGAAGTGGGACATGAAGAAATGAGGTGCTTTTCCATCAGTGAGCTTCAAATCCCAGGAATGTTCTCAGTGCCATACTCTAGTGAGCAGGGGGGCACAGAGCGAAACAAACAGCTTGATGGGTGTTTACTTATTAATCGGATATCAGAATATATTATTGAGATTTACCAGTCAGTCTTCAAATCTACCCCCAGACAGCCTGAGGAGCAGCGCTGGGGGATTAAACAAAACAAAAAAAAAAAAATGAAACCCCTGCCTGCTTGGTAAAGCGTTTCTAATGACAAACTGATCTCAGCATTAGCACTAAGCATGTTGTGCATCTGAAATGAAGTCAATCTAAAAATCAAGAAATCAATGGCTCTGTCAATATGGGGAGGGAAATGTATATTTTTAAAATAAGGCACGTGGCCAAAAATCCTCCAGAAGCAGTGGGGTCCTCTTACAGAGGGATTTGTGTCAGCAGAAAGTGTTCATATTTCAATACACACCAGGCGTTGTGCTGAGGAGAGGGAAACCGGAGGGTGGGATATAGCGTAACGGTGTGTTTTGCACACCGTTACGACGAGATTAGACTGTGCTGTGGAGATTGCTCGGCTCATAAATGAAATATAAGCAGCACAAAGGAGAGGAAACTGAACACCGATCCCTGGGGGCTCGGGCTGGACCATATTTGTGTCCGACCTAAGCCAGGTATCGCACTAACAAGAGCAACCTTGGGTAATCAAAGACTGCCATTTGCAGCCACAACAGTGGTCAAGTAAATACCGGGACACTTCAGCGGTGTAGACAGAGATTCTCATGCAACCCTCAGGTGGTATCAGTCAGGGCTGATGGGTGTCGAGGCTCATTCTGGTTATTTCTGCTGAAAGTGCCGGGGAGGGCCTTCGGTTGGCGATGCGGACGTGGCAGATGGCCAAATCTCCTGCACGGGGCCGGAGCGGCCATGATTCGTAAGTGGGACAGAGGTTCTCCACTCCCCTAACCAGCTGCAGTGAAGAATGTGCTTGTCCCGCAGTGTAGACCCCTTCCCCTTTTCCTCCAGCGCTCCCTTATCAACACCACAAACAGGCATTACAAAGGGCCGCAGCTTGTCAACAAAGTCAAAGTGCCCCTCAACAGGACCTTGGCTCTTTCACCGCTGCGAAACTGCCTCTAGAGTGGCTTCAGTCTTACAGTCTACCTCGATACTCAGCTGCATGGTAGCCTCTGTATGGCACCTCTATTTAAATTAACAAGTGGGTCAGTGAGCTTCCCTAGTCACTCCTGTCCAAAAAGCCAAACATCTGTTTAGCAAAGTTAAGGCCCACTTGACAGCTATGAATATTACATTTGCTTCAGTATGCTCCTTGCACCAGATATAACTTTAATATCTGAAAGACAGGTAGAACTAGCTACTGACTACCGTTCTAAAGACTCAAAACACAGTTAACTGTGCCCTGCAGCGCCATCTTTTGTTGTGAACTACTCTACAAGAAACGAAAACACACATACTGATTCACCTTAAGATGCCAGTAGTAATTCTGCAACTGTTTGGCAGTGATGTACTGAACATTCAAGATTAAATTAACATCTAAATGTGATTTACATGAAGCATTACAAATACACCTGAATGTTAACACAGCAGTCATTTCCTCAAACTTACATTGAACTTATAACATTCATAACAAAATGGCACAGGAAAAAGAGAGGGCAATATGTTATATATCAAAAAAGCGACAGTGGAAATATATGGCACACGTTCAAGAGGGCTGATGAACTGTCAGCTGACAAAGTGCCACATCTTCTGACAACTGAATCATGTGATCGAGTAGCTCATTAATAAGGAAAGGAATCCATCTATGGATGAAAAAGGCCAGGGGCAGGCTGAATTCCCTGTTCACTAAATTCAGTACCAGACAGGCTCAGTTTAACCCTTCACGGTTTGCCAATACAGAGACTCCCATTTTTTCATTTGATAGCTGGTGTGTGGTCAAACAGGGAAATTGTGTGGTGCAACCACATCAGACTTTCCTTAGCATCTTGCCCTCTCCCCTGGTCTGTGTGGGAGGCAGGGCAACATTTCTCTTTTGTCCTATGATCTCATTATGGCACAGCACTCACATGCTGAAAAATGACTCACGCTGACGAAGGCCATCGACTGAAACCCTTCTGATTTTCTCCACTAAGAGTAAATCACAAGGCTGCACACCTTTGCTCCCGAGCTCGTGTCTCCTTTTTGAAATAACTGGCTTGTTAAGCCCACACATGCCTATTCCTAACCTATGAATGAGTGGACCAGATCTACTGCAGAGAGAACCAGAAACATCTCATTATAAAAATGTAACGCAGCCCTATACATATTATGTATAGCATAGCATGCTAGGCATACTAAAAAACATATACCCTCCCCACCAGTTGACATTAGGGGTGGCGGTTTGGTGTACTGATAAGGAGCAGGGCTTGTAACTGAAAGGTTGCTGGTTCAATTCCCCACTGGGGCACTGCTTCAGTAAATATCCAGCTGCATAAATGGGTAACATGTAAAGTTGTAACCTGTGTAAGTGGCTCTGAATATGAGCGTCTGCTAAATGACAATAATGCAATGTAATGTACTGCTGGTGACTGACAATGAAACGACGGAGGAGATGAAAGGGTCACAGATGGCTCTATATGGTATTTTCAGCCTCAAGATCCCACCCTCAGCGGGTCACCCCAGGGTCTCGCCGCACGCACCATCACACGCCTTGCTCCCCACGCCGCAGGGGATCCTGTTGACGCTCAGGATGTAGCCGTCCTCCGTGACCACTTCGTGCTCCTCTGCCGGGTAGCCCCAGTACTTGATGATCTCGCTCTGCGGGTGAGAGGCAGCAAGCAGATCAACCATCTGACCGAGATCAAAGACCAGGAAAAACCTGAACAGGATTAGTACCAGACATCAGCCGTCCCGACACATCCAGCCAATGTAAACCTGGTGCTGGGAGGATGTACAGAGCTTCACTATACCAAAGTGCAAAGTGCAGAGCAAGCGGAAAACACAAAATACAATGTGTGCCGCACTCTACGGTCAAAATAAGAAGTCAGAGGGTTCACCATGTGATTGCTAGCCCCCCACAACATTCAAAGCAGATATTGTCTCCTTGGAGTTTTTTTCCCTACTTATCTTTTCCAATAGTGGCCTTATCTTCACAGATTAATAAAGCTGCGTCACAACTTGCACAGAAATTCGAAATGCTCAAATTGTACCAGTTTCCATGCAGCCAGTGCTCTATAACAAATTCCTGAAACAGGGAGCCTTCTTTCTGTCAAGATGCCTGCTTCCACAAAATAATTAGCTGCTTGTCACTTGAAGAATCCATTCTCCTCCCCCCCAGCACAGTCACACTCCTTCCCTCCCAGATATGATATAAATTCTAATCAGAAACTTCAAAGGAAATGTATGAGCTTGTTGGTTCCAGCCTCGCCATGCAATCTGTCCATGCATAATTAAAGGCACTGCAATTTCCCGCTCCCCCCGGGCTCACAGTCTGCACATTCTACTTTGGGCCACTTAAGGATAAACCCATCTCTCCTTCAACAA